CAAATTTTTATTTTTATTTTAAAAAGGAGACCAAGGCCTGAATTAAAGTAAAAATTTAAAGACTTTAAATAATTATCATCATTAACTCACCAAACACACTAAATGATTAAATACCATTACCAAAATAAGTGAACAGAGTCAGTGTCAAGTTTGGTCACCCAGGTTTAGTTCAGGACGAAGCCAGAAAACAGTGACTAAACAAGGGAACACTGTAGTTTATGGAGTATCAACCTACCTTGGGGAAAGGGCAAACGTTTGCAACTGGGATGCAGCCCATGCAAACAGCAGGTCCTAGACGGCGGGTAGAATATGCTCAAAGAGCCTGATTCTTCTCTGAGTGCCCAAACATCTCATCACTCAACAACACTCAGCGAAAGAGTGAGTGGGTGATTTCTTCACCTGTTTTTCATTTTCAGTACTCACACGGGCGTGAGACCCAATGCACTAACTCCTCAACCATAAGTCATGGACAGAAAAAGCCTGATTTCAGAGGGATTCATGAAAACCATAAAAAGATCTAATGGGATCGCAGGAAGAATATGAATTCTTTTCCATAGTCTTGTCACATAGAAATAAAGTTCAAAATTTACTAATTTAAAATGAAACAACGCGCAGAAAACACCTAAAGAAGCAGGTCATGTGGAATATGAAATGCATTGTATTTGAAGGCCATCTTTATGTCAGGGAGCACTAATGAACTCCCCTCTCAGACCGAGGAGACAAGAGAGAGCTCCACTAATATGAGGACCCGGTTACTTCCAAAGACTGTCACAACAGGACATGTCACGACTCCCAGTACATGTCACACAGCAACCCCTCCACTCTCCTCCCCTCCCCCCTCACTCCCCCCCCCACTGCTGCACGCATCTACAAGAGATTGGAAGCACATTGTCCGCTCTCTTAGTCCTCTCCGAAGGAGAGGAGAAATTGCTACCTGGCGTAGCAATTTCTTTGCCCCACAACTATAGAAAGCCAATATTTGTATATCAATTGTCCCATGTTTATATAATTCAGATGGTGAGTTTACAAATGGTAATGGTTTTGTGCTCACTTAGCATATAGTTCAAGCTTTTGATTATAGTCTATGATGATAATCTACAGTGAATATAACCTGTGATGATTAATGTTCCATGTGAACTTGGCTGGGCTGTGGTGCCCAGTTCATTGGTCAAACACCGGTCACAATGTTGCTAGGAAGGTATTTTTTTAAAGATGTGATTAACTTTGAAACCAGCAGTCTTTGAGTAAGGCAGAATACCTTCCAAACTGTGGATGAGTCTTATCTAATCAGCTGGAGGCCTTAAAGAAAAGTCTGAAGTTCCCCTGAAAGAAGGAACTCACCACAAATCTGCAATACAGAGACTCCACTGCCCTGCAGAATTAGAACTCAATGTTGCAGTAACTGTTGCCTGAGTTTCTAATCCATGGCCTGCCCTACAGATTTTAGACTTGCCAGTCCCTAAAATTGTGTAATTCCAACTCCTTAAAACAATTTTATGCCTGCCTGCCTGTCTGTCTGTCTGTCTATCTATCTATCTATCTATCTATCTATCTATCTATCTATCTATCTAATCTATCTACCTATCTACCTATCTACCTATCTAATCTAATCTCCTATCACTCCTACTGACTCTGTTTCTCTTGAGAACCCTGACAAATCCATAATCAAATTATCCTTCTTTCCCATGACACCCTTGCAACTGTGCCCTCTTTAAAATAAACATATAAACAGTTCTTCATTTTCAGGAAAGTCTGTGTGCTGCTGAGATGTTCTCTGTGACCACACAGGGAAGGTCGGGCCCGTCTACCACGGTCTCAGGAATCAGTGTGCGACCCTCAGCGGGCAGGTCTACAGCTGGAGGATGACCAGGTGTGGGCAAAAGCCTCTGGGAAGGCTGACCCCAGGGAGGTAGTGCACGGAGCTGAGCATCACGCGGGAGAGTGTCTCTCTTAGCCCTCACCCCAAGTTTTGTGAACAAGAAAAAGCATCTAATACCTCCCCAGGTTTTGAAAATAGGATTTGCTGCCCTCAGAACCAGTGTGGACGCCGACAGCGGCTGCGCATGGATGGGAGACGACAAGAAACCAATTTGAAGCTGCCGTGCCACGTCGAACATGTTATCCGCCTGCTTCTATTTTCGAAGACCAGGTTTTAATTTTTTTCAGGACAGTCTTAATTTTGGGTATTCTGTCCTATGATGACATTATCTGTTAGAATATGTTTCAGGTTTTGGGCTGGCTAGAGATGGCTATCTCATCATATTGCTTCTGTGATTCTTTTCCTGCCTGCACGATTTCCATCATCTTCTTCTCCCCAGTTAACTTGGCTGGCCCCTCACCCCATCCTGCGCCCTTTCAGGTTATGGCCGTCATTTAATGCCCTTCTCGAATTGCACCCCCTGGGGCACACTAGGGCTTTCATGGGCCTTAGGTACTTTTCCCTGCGGGCTCCTTCCTTCATTAAAAACCAAAAAACAAACAAAAAATATATAAATGTATTTTACATCCTTGCTGGCAGAAAGAAATACAATCCACAAAGGGGTATCCAGTAATCTTTTTTCCCTGTTGATTTTAAAAGAAATTCAAAGCTTCTCGTGGGCCCTTAAATTATAATGGGCCCCGGGCACTCTGCCTCCTGATCCTACTGGACGGGAAGCCGTCCGGGTCCCTCCACAAAGCAGCCCTGCAAGGGGGCCTCTCCTCTCACTTACCAGCATTACCACACTCTCTGGACGCAGAGAGACTCAAACTCAGACCTCAGCTTCTTTACATTCTACCTATAAACCAGAGTAAGTGATTCCAACATTCTGAATGTCATTTTCCTCCTCTATGTAATTCTTACCTCCTACAGTTGCCGTGGTAATGTGAGATCATGCATACACAGTGCTTAGTGCCTGGTCCAGGGCTAATGCTTGTACTAGGCAGCTATTTGTATTTAAACTCACGGTGGTCATTGACTATCTTCATTCAAGCATTACTCTATTATTTACCTTTTCACTTTTGTTTAACTCCCTTATTAAACTGTAAACTGCTAGAGGGCTGGGAGTAAGTTTGAGGCTGGTGATCTCAGCCTTGAGCACCTGGAGGAGGTACTGGAACACGGGTGGCTGGACCCCACCCTGAGTTCTTGATTCAGAGGTGTGGTGTGGGGCTGCTAATTTCCACCTGTGACAACTAATAGCCAGGTGAGGCTGAAGCCGCTGGTTTTGGGTCACTGCTTTAAACAACTCTGCCTCCTGCAAATTCTAGCACAGAGGGAAGTTTTCAAGTACTAGTATTTTGATACAGTAGTGATACTGGTAATAATTCTAGTATTTTAATAATACAAATATTTCTAAGTAATTATTTATGCAACAGGTAATACAGACGCCAGTGGAAAAAATCTGTGCCCCCTCCCCACTGTGAGAAAGTTTTCATCGCTGCAGGGGCTGAGCAAAAAGGGATGAGCAAAGAAATCTTCCTGAAAGAAAAGGGGCAAGTGGCACAGCGGAATGCTCTCCTCTGTTTGATTTCAGGGGCATGTGCAAAATGCAGACAAGAAGCCAAACAATAGCTCTGCCAACTCCAGGCTTCCTGAGTTCTTAGCTCAATCTATAACAATGCCAGCAGGGCTGCTGGGATCCATCTGCTCCCCTCCTTCTGATAACAGATCTGGGGTCTCTGGAAGGGAAGAGCTTGACAGGAAGAAAAAAAGATTGGGCCAACTGAAAACGTCTGGATTTATGAGGCTGCCCTTGTACATGGCACGGCTTTTAACTCTTTGTGGAACTTTACTAACCCTCAGCATACCCCTGCTTTTCTTTGGGTTTGCTGTTTCCTTCCTGGAGAAATGTAATTTCTGAGTCCCAAAGCTCTCCTGGATACATTGTATTTACATACAAATTACGTTTGCAGGATTTAATACTGATGGAAGGCTTGAGATTTAATATTGACGGAAGGTTTTGCAGATGAGAAATGCAAGCCTAGGGGTATCCTAGAATGTATAACCGATACGGTAGAGTCAGGCTGGAGTGCAGACTGCTTGACCCCCAGTGGGTACTGGTGGGCATGGTCCTTTCTCCTCCCCAGACGAGTAGAAACGAAAGCTATCTTTCCTCCACTGCATTTTAAGGAGGGAAACATGATTTACTCCTTTGCTTAAGTTACTTTTCACAATTTACCCTTTTATCTCTGAGAGCAAGGGGGCAAATGAAAACATGAATAACTCCAAACCGCGCTGGCAGGGCCTGGACACGTGAGGGAGGACGACCTCCTGCTCCCTGTGGTGTGTCCACTGGCTGCCCAGCCACTACACAGAGCAGGTTCTCAAACCCACTGGTGAGTTAATGAATGAATGAACGAATGACCAATGAATAAATAAATCGCTGGTTTGATGGTTGTTTGCCCACTTTTCGGCCAATTAGGAATGATATTTCACACCCTGCTGTGGCATCTCCTTGTTCCTACCAGTAAGTTAGGTACCTGTACAAAACCAGAATCACCTTTTGTGTGTGTCTGCTGGAAAGTATGGGCTTTGAGGGTAGAAAACGTTGAATCCTAGACTGTCCACTCTGGTTACTGGATTCTAGGCAAGTCATAGACTCTCTCAGGGTATGCGTAAAATAAAGATAATAACACCTACGACCTCGGGGTTGCTGTAAGGATTAAGTTAGATCACGTTGCGGACTGCCTGGTGCTGTCAATTCATGTGAGTGTCTTCCCCATTTCAGTTCCAAGTGCCTGTGTGAGAGTGATGCTGGTGTGGAAGAGGCGGGGTCCGCGTGCATATTGGGAGGGCGGGTACAAGATCCTGGGTGGAGACTGAAGGGACTCCTTTGGCTGAAAACATGTACAAATCATCATTGTCATCATGGTTATCCAGCAGCTGCTTTGCTGGCGGTATGCTTTGCGAGAAATACAAGCAAAGCTAGGTATACTTAGTACTCCGTAATCCTTCACCATTTTGCTAGTTTCTAATGAAGTAATTTTCAGTAAAAGAGTAAATCTAATTTTTAGCTTACCTGTCTGGTCTTGGTTTCCTTGTTCCGGGGTCAAGAAACTCCGTCTCCTCCTCTATTTCTGTTTCAGGGACTGGGTTTCTCTGAGAAGGCTGTGGTGAAAGCATTTCCCATTCATTGTCATGGGTGACAGCCTGCAACGGATCTGCATCCCGGCTCGGCCCGCCTCGGCTCTGCCTCTGGCTCTTCCGAGACTGGCTGCCCAGACCAGAGGCTTCCTCTAGAGCTAAAGATTCCAGAGGTGTTGTTTCTCCCAGAACCTGCGTTTGGGGGCTGTTGCCCAAGCCGTGAGCAGAGGCGGGCTCCACAGCCTCGTCAGACCCTTCAGGCCCTTTGTCCTTAGCTTCTGATGATGGATTGCCGACCTCACTATGGCCCAAGAGCATCCAACTCTGTTCTTGCCCAGGGCTTTCAAGGGGTGGTGACCTCTTATCATCTTGGGAAGACATTCTCTCCGCAGTATGATCTTTTCTTTCCTTTAAGGAGTCAGGTTGACAGGTGTCTGGGAAGCTTGCTAGCTGAGTTCCTGGCAGCCCCATTTGTTTGGAATCGATGTGCAACTCTTCCAATACAGATGTGTTTCCTCTTGCTTCACAGGCCTCTGGCTGTGCGGGTGAATTTGCTCCGTGGTTTACAAGTATGTAATCCATATGTTGTGCGGGATGGTCTTCCTTCTTCTCTGTGTACCTTCCTTCTCTGTATTCTGGTTTTACCTGCTCCGACTCTTCCGTAGGAATTACTGTTTCTTCTTCTAACTCTAATATTCTCCTGCTGGCACCTGACAGTGGAAGGTGAAGGTGAGAAGAGAAGAAAGAAGGCTTAATTAACACATTATGTGATTTGTGATCTTTGCAAATGATCCATCTAAAGAGAGATAATTTCAGATATATTTGTTTAACAGATGGTAGGCAGGGATGAGGGGGGTGAGGGGACAGTGAAAAATGCGAAGGGATAAGAAGGGCAGATTGTGTACTTTACACAGGGATGTAAAGCACAGCGTAGGGAATATAGTTGATAATATCGTAAAAACTGTGTAAGGTGCCAGGTGGGTACTTGACATATTAGGGGAATACTTTGTAAAGTATATGATTTTCTAATCACTATTCTGTACACCTGAAACTAACAGAACATAATATTGAATGTAAACTAGAATAAAAAAATGTTTTATACACAAAAAAAATCTGTTTAATCTTCTCCTATACTCAAATGGATAGGTATTATACAACTGCTATCATATAGGGCTTGGTTAGGCATGCATTGCAAATGCAGTTAGTTCCTGTTTACCCACACTGGTAGACAGAATGTGTTTTACAAGTGGATTAATTGAAAGAAAGCACCTCCCAAGGTTTGGTGGAATGGGGTGTTTCTTACCATTTGATGGTCCCAGGTCTCCACCTGCTGGTGAATCGGAATTCTCTGTTTCTACTTCCCAGTCAATGTTTGAGGGCGACGACTCCACGCTGGAGTCACCACCTCTCCCAGGCAAAGAGAGTGACTCAGGGTCTTCATGAATATGCAGTACCTCCAGCTGGCGTCCAGGCTGTCTGATTTGGGTCTCAGTGTGGTTTTCCTTGCTTCTTTGATCAGAAAGAGCAGAAAGCAGTATCTCTGCTGCTTCACTCCCCAGAGACTCATCCTCTGCAGCCCCAGCTGCCTCTGTCAGTTCAACACCAAGAGTAGGTTCTGTGAGATAGGACAAATCAAAGGGAGGAGTGTAAGGTGCCAGCGACTGCTTCAGAGCATCTTCTTCCAAGGGACGGTCACTACCATAGAGAAAGTGCTCAGGCTCTTTCATTAAATCTTCATCAACGTTTTGGCCCATGGCATCGTATTCAAAGTCACCCCATGAGGCTTCCGACGAACAGATATCTTGCTTCCCAGCATCCCCATCCACTGGTGTATCGGGATTGCCTTCCGATAGTGTCAGTTTACTCATGTCATCTATTGTTCCCGTGGATGTGTTGAGACCCGAGGCTTCACTGAAACTGTGTTCGAAGGCAGCTTCGCTTACATCCAGACAAATGTCCGAAGCTAGAAGAGCACTGGGAACTGAGGCAGGGTTCTCGGTGGTCAAAGGCTGCCCAAGGTCCAGCAAGGCTCTTGCATCTGTCGGACTTTCAGGAGAAAAGTCCTCGGAGATCCAAGAGCCGTCACCATCCATAGCTGGCTCTTGGTGACCTACAAAAATGGTGGTCCCCACCTTTTTAATCATTGGGAGTGTTCTGTCAGTGGGTTCCCAAACTGGTGTCATATCTGGGTCGGCTCCTTTTTCTGAATCTTTTAAACCTGTGTCGTTTCCACCTTTTATTTCAGAAGGCTCAGGAGAACCACGGTGCGAGGCAGCAAGCAGAGAGTAGCCATTTGAGTTTGCTTGGTCACTGACTGGAGGTGGTGGAATTGTGTTTTCAGAATATACTTCTGAACCGTCTGGAACAAATTCCTGCCCAGGCTCATGAGTGGGTTCTTCATCCAGCTTTGGCTCGGTGACATATAACTCACTGGCTTCCCCTTCAGGTCCCATCCTAGCATTGATGGGCTTCTCAGTCTCTTGCTTGGCTTCATAGTCATGACATATATCAGGGCTATTGGAAGCCTGAGAATTGCTGTCCTGGTCACAGTGAGTCAATATATCAGGATTCTCACCGTCTGCTTTCAAACTGAAGGGCTGCTTAGCATCCACCCACAAGTCAGGCGAAGCTGAGGTCAACCGCCCATCCTCCTGAAAGTTGCCATGCAAGATGTCTGGGACAAACGTGCTTCGGGAGCCCTCCCTGGGGCTGGCATCATCCCACTCAGCACCTGCCTTCTTTATCAGCTGGGGAGAACTGACAGCAGGAAAATCGGAGGCCATGCTGAAATTTGTCATTTCACTGGGGTATGATTTTTCTTCTTCCCACTGATTTGCTTCTTGACACTCAACAGTTGAGACATTAGATACGACACATTCATTTTCATCAATGTGAGTAAATGTTGGGTCTGGCTGATCCCAGATGGATAGCACTGTATTGTGACACTGCTCTTGGGTGGGTGTTTCAGAAGTGAGTTTGTCACCAGCAGAAGCCATGAAGGTTTGCTCTCTGGGATCATTTCCTTTCACTTGGTCCAATATTACGAGCTGGCTAAGCTGATCAGCTTCTGGGTCTGGCTGCCTTGGTTGAATGTTCCAGAGTTGCTCATGGGAGTTCCCCCCATCACTATGTAGAAAGGGTGACTGATGTTTATCACTGAAAGGATTAGTACAATGTGCTTCCATGGATTCCCTATCACTCTGAATGGGTACTCCCCAGGGACCCACATTTTGGTAGATGGAAGAATTCATCTGTAACATACCACCTGAGTTAGCTAATTCCCCTTTAGATAATTCCCTTTCAAATGCACCCTCAGTTGGCTGCCCCTCCTGTAGTGATTCATTCCACCACTCAGTGCTCTCAGTTGAGAAGCCAAGCATTTCTGATTTAGAATGGTTCTCATTCTTTGGCTCAGTTTTGGGAGAGATTTGCCATATGATATTTCCTAGCTTCTCTATTTCTGAAGATCTCGTCTCCTTATCTGCTGCTATCACCTGTATTTCGTTCTCCTTTAGTGGGGAGAAATTCCAGTGATCGGGGCTGCTTTGTGGAGTGTCACAAAGTGGGTCTGCTGTCTTCTCATTCTCTGCTGGGCTCGAACTCCCTGTGTAGGCAGATCCTTCCTCGGGCTTGGGATCTGTCATGGCCAAGAACTCATTAGGTTCATTTGATGAGTCCCAAGCTCTGGGTTCACTCTGAGCAATGTGGCAAGTGGCCGAATGGCTCTCTTTCTCCACTGATTCCTCATCACCTGCACTCTCATCATCAGAATCTGAGCTCCTTGTAATGTACTTGGCATCCTCTGGCTGCACAGTGTCAAGAATATCACGATCATTTTTGTCCTGGTGGCTAACCACTAGATCTCTTTCCTGATAAGCACCTGAGTATTCAGAATATTTGCCTACTTCAGGGCTGGATAAAGAGGAAAAGGAATCATCTACTGAGTCATCCCATATCTCTAAAAATTTAGAAACTTTGTGATCTAACCCATCCTTTCTGTTTTTCTCCAGTTCTTTCATTTCAGTAATGACTTCTGCTTGGCCATCAGTAGTAATTAGTCCAGATTCTTGGTGATTCTGTTCACTCCAATCATCCTGAGTCTCCTCCTGACACCCAGTATTGGTTCCATGATCCCACGAAAGCAATGCAGCCGAAGAATCCTTTAGGTCAGGACTTGAAGCATTCGAATGTGTATACTCACTAGAAAGACTATCTCTGTCATAATTTCCCAATGGACTGACTGCTGGAGGGCTGTTTTCAGTACTGGTACCTTCGGGATCCTTAGCTATCTCAGAACTGGTGCTTCTGACCTGCACATCGCTATCTGTAGGGCCACCCCAAACGTCAAGGCGCTGGGGACATTTGGGAGGTGACTCTTGGTTTACTCTCTCTGGCTCCAGAATGTTACATTCTTCAGTTTTCTTAAGATCCATTTCAGGTAGAGACACATTTTTTGTTAAATTCGGCCTATCCAAAATTTCAGTAGTTTCACCTGGATTTCTGGGATCCATGAGGTACTTTCCGAAGGTCTCTTTGGCCTGCAGGTGATTGGAGGACACCTCCGGCTGCACGTCACAGGGGTTTGAACTGTGAAATCCCTTCTCATGCTCGAAAACCTTCTGGGGCTCCTCAGTCTGAGGAGTTGACGGGACTGAAGGGAAGCTGGTTTTGCCTGACTCATCACAGATTTCTTCATGTTCAGATGTAACTGGGGATGAGCATTCCTGGTCATGTTGGCCTTTTCCAGAATTCCCCGAGGCTCTATCCATCACCTCCTCCTCGCTAAGGCATGCCCTGTCAACGGCCCTGTGGGTTTCCTTCTCACTTTCGTTTTGTCCATAGCTGCGACTTTTCCATGGATCTGAGCTTACAAAGTGCCCTGGATTCTCAAGCCCGGTTGTCAGGGACACTGCATTACTTGGCAGGTTTCCTTGGCATGTGTCTTCCTGGTCTGGATCAAGTGCTCCTGACTCACTGACTCCAGAGGCTTCTAGCACATCTGGGCTGTGATTGTCCTTAATTTCTTTGGATGAGCTGGGAGTTTCAGGAGGCAATCTGCTTTGTTCTGAATCTGTAACGTATGATGGACCTGGTAACATTAATGATGGCATGTCATTATCTCTCATGACAGAATCCCAAATACTATTTGCGATTAGCTGTCCGCTTTTTTCATTCAGTATGTGATATTCGTTGGAAACAGTGTCCTCACTATGCTCATAAGAAGCAGGAAGTCCCCAGTCAGCCTGACTGGCTTCCTGAAACTCCATGCCCCATGGTTCTAGCTGTCTCACTGAAAATCGGGTTTCAGGTTCAGTACCTTCAGCCACGTATCCCTGGGCTTGACCTTCACCAGGGATCACCACACCTGCACTGCAGTCATCCCAGTCCAGGTCATTATCCGAGATGGTTGCAGTGGACTGAGTGTCCTCCAGAATCACTCTGTTCCACAGCTCAAGATTGTCAGGGGCCGTGGGCCGGGAGTTGGTACTGCTGTGCAGAAGGGTGAGCTGCCGGTTTGTTTCGTTGTACAGATGCATCATGCCAGGGTCATCGTAACTGGACCGGCTGCTCTCTCCAATGTCATCCTCCACGGAGATGTCCTTCTCATCTGTGGGCTCTGTTTTGAATAAGTCTTTATCTGGGTTGTGAGTGGCATTTCTTTCAGAACTATCATCTGCATGAGGTGAAGCCCATATTTCGAGGTTTCCAGGACCTGAACTAATTCGATTTCTAGGTGGCTGCAGCGGTGACTGAGGAGGGGTTTCCGTCTCCTTGGTAATAGAGTTAGCATCCTTTGACTCAAAATCTCCCTCTTTAGCAAATGGCTTGTTTTCAGTTTCTTTTTCATCTCCAGCAAATGTCGGTGAAGTATAAGAATCAGAGGTGGAGTAGTTGGTATCTAAGGGGGAAGGCACTGAATCTTCCCCTATGTTGGATGCACTGTAATCAGGACATTTATACGATAAGAAGGAATCTTCCCACGGAGCTAGGGCATCTGACCCTCCTTTCTTGATACTCTCCTCAAAAAGGTTCCAGGAATCTACCTTTTCATATACATTCCCTCTAATTTTCGGAGCCATGCTACCATCCTGATCTTCCTTTGCTGTCTTAGAGCTATTCCATGCCTGATCCAGGTCAGACCTGGGATTTCCAGATGTAAGGGATTTAGCCCTAGAGTCATGGTTCTTTTTGCCCCAGATTTCTGGAGCTGCTTCATTATTTGTCTCACTGGCCAAACTGTCCGCAAGGTCTTCTGCAGGAAAAGAAAACCCACTCTTTGCCATGGCCCACTCACTCGGGTCCCTCACAGAAGGTGTGTCACCGCACGTTGGGTGCAGATTCCAGGTATTTTTCAGAGGCTTGGTGTCATTGTCTGTACGAAATGCACTCCAAGCCGGGAATGACGCTGCAGAAGCTGGTTCATGGTCATCTACAGGATTTCCCCACGGCGCGGGCATTGCCGTGGGAGAGCGATTGGAACTCCACAAAGCAGCGAAATCTTCTATCAGATGGTTTGTTCCCTGAGGAGAAGCGTCTGGCAAAGGTGACTTTTCAGTGGGCAGGTTCTGAAACTGCAAGCTTTCCTCATTCTGGTCTCGAATATTATTGTTGCCCAGCCCAGGCTGACCGAATTCTGACTCCCAGGGCCTTGCCCTTGAGAATTCAAGACTCTTTGGTTGAAATATAGAATCTGAGGCTCTCCTATCAACTGGGCTTGGCTTATGATCTCTCCAGGATTCCGGGCTCTGGAAGACAGATTCCTGTTCACTGGGACTCCATGCATCTGCAGTAGTTTTAGAGTCAATTTCCAAACCACCCCACCAACTGCTACACCGTGCACGAGTCTGAGGTGGCCCTGTGTCAACTGTTTGTTGGGCCATGTCTTCGGAACAGAGTAGACCTGGTTCTTCAGTGGATGGTGAGCTTTCTACAAAGCTATTCATTGGTGTCAGTGGGATCTTCTTTCCAATATTTTTTAGCCTTTCTGGAGAAAGAGATTCATCTCCCACAAAACCAGTCAAGCTCACATTCCTTTTAGAGTTATCCCCAGGACTTTCTTGTCTCTGGGCAAACTCCTCATCGAACTCCACAAGGTTATCTTCGCCAGCCTCCGACAAAAGCACACCAGATGAATAATTAGACATGTCCATCCCTATCCCATTGAGTTCTTTAGGCCCCGTGGGGAGCTGTCCTTCTGATGAATCGCTGTTAGGAAAGAAATCATCTTCTGGGGAGTAGTCAGCAGAATGGGAAGATGGTTGGGACTGTCCAGAAACAATGGGGGCTGGGTCAAAGTTGAAGAGGTCAAAGTGTTCCCCATGTTCTCTGGACCGTGCTTGCTCCTCCACTACTGCCCCTTCAGGGATGGGACTATAGGAGTCGAACCCTGGGAGGAGGCTATGGTGAGGCCCAGCACCTTCTCCCACTGGACTGTCATCACTGAGGAAAACTGAGCTCTCCTTGGATGAACGGCTGCTCCTAATGGTGGCCAACCCACTATCTGGGCTAACGAGGTCTACACTGGCATCCACCTGGGCCTGGTTAGAGTCGCTGAGATCTGGAGGGTTCTCTATGAAATTCACAGGGTTGGGCTGTGGCTCTATGTCAGAGCCATACAACTCCATAATCCCCGACGATCCCTGGGAGAGCGGGGCGCTGCCTGCCACGGCTTCTGTGGAGGACGTCCGGCTGTTGGAGATCATCTCTGGACACCTCCTGTTGAGGACTTCCTTGACAAGGAGAACCACCTGGTCACAAGTCACCAAAGGGTTCTCCTGCTGGTATACCAGGATCTCATCACAGCCACACTCGAAGGGCTCCAGCTCTAGGCAAGGGTTCTGACACTCCTCCAGTTCACAGCAGATCTGTCAGGGAGACACGGGGGTTTGTATGAGCACTCAGGTACTCTTTGCTCTTTGTGATTTTTCTTTCTTAAGTTTCCTTAATATAAAATTAATCTGTGTTTATTGGTCTTTTAAAAAAGAACTCAAATAATGGCAAACTGTATGATGTAAAACATGGAAAGTTCCATTTGATATATCACCAATTCCTTCTCTAATCTCATCAAATTGGCTTTTGATTGAACTCAAATCCAGGGGCTCATTTTTTGCTGGCTTCTGAAAGTTACAGGTAAAGACATCTAAAACCATTTAAATCCTTTCCTCAGTATAATGTAACACCATCTTCTAACAGAAGTGGAAGTGTGAAAAATGCCAACTGTTTTCAAGTTTGAAAAAAATAGAAATAATGCCAGTTGCTGACAAGGACTAGTGGAAAAGTGTTGGAAAAAAGGAAAATGGGGCAGGAGAAAGGCTTTATTTAGCAGCAGGCAGCCTGGACCTGCTGTAACCTCTGACAGTCTCATTAGGCAAAGGAGAAAGTAGGAGGGAGGAAGCAGCTGCGGGAGGTAGGGCTTCCCAACAGCACCCAGGCCCCAGCTGTCTCCTCCTGCCCCAGCGAGCATCGGCATGGAGCCCAGAACAGTCGGAGCTGACTTGGGAGGCCAAGAGTACGTGTGACAGTCAGTGCTAGGCCAGCTCTATGGGCTAGCCCTGGGCTACAGCTACAGCTCTATGGGGTATAGCTCTATGGCTTTTAGGAAAAGTTGGGAGATATTTTGAAATGGCCCCACAGGATTAGCGACAGTCACAACAAGAGCAGCAACAACAACAGTAACAACTACAGAGTTCACAGAGATAATAATAACAGTTCTAAAGGTTTTATGTGTATTTTCTCCTTTAATCTTCATAATTCTGCAAGGTAGGAACTGTTTATCCCCATTTTGCCAATGAGTAAACGGAGACACAGGAAGACTAAATACCTTGACCAACCATAGACAGCTAACAAGCGAAGGAGCCACATTTTCAACTCAGACGATTGGGCTGCAGATGCTGAGCCTTGACCAACTGGGCCCCCACGAACAAAAGAGAGATTCCTTTGGAGCAATCTTAACCCTGTGTTGCTTAAATTTCCAAAGAGCCATGTCCCTGGTGATGGGTGGGGAGGCGGGGTAAGGAAAGGAGAGGCAGGGTAGCGGTGCCTCAAGGGCTTCTAACCCTTTCATCTGCTCTTCTCTTTTGGTCTATTTTAAATTGGCCATTTAAAACACTGATTTGCAACTGAAAGTAATTTCAAAACCACTGTACTGAAGGCTTAGGAGACCTGATTCCTATCCATTGGAAACCAGTGGCCAAAGATAAAATTCAGCTTTGAAACCCAAGGCTGAGCAATGCACTGAAAAAAAACTCAGGCTGATGACAATGTGCAGATGTAGGTGGCTCAGAAAGAGGGTGCAAAATGCATCTGTAGCAGGGACAGGGGCCTCTTTCCTATTTGGACGTGAGAGGAACCATGCAGTCATATGTCAGGAAAGCCAAGATGGATCTCTTGGGGAATAGAAGGTGAGGATGGAGAAAAGAAAGGGGTTTTCTCCCAGCCTCCTATGGATACATGAGGTGTCTTGTCCATTAGTGCAGACGGATTCACTGACGAAACCATTCTGGGCCAAGCTGTCCACGGTGTAACGAACCATGTATATTCTTATATTACTTATGAAGCAGTACACCTGGTTTGCTATAGCCATGCCCTATTTTGATTAATATTTGTCTACATTTTGTATCATTTCCATAGCCTTGGGTTAATGGATTCAGTTCTCAACTAAGAGGTTCCAACTGATTACCCAGCCAGAATTTTAGTACCTGGAGACTAACTGATTGAAGCATCAGATCACCAGTTACTCAACACTGAGCACCAAACAGGTATTCAGACAGGGACTAAGAAAACAGCACCCAAAGGAGGACTGGCCTTCATTTGGGCAAGAAAGCTGTGATCTATCTCTCTGTATGGATTTATTCTATAGAGAAAAGGGTCCCCAACCTCCAGGCTGTGGACTGGTCCTGATCTGGGCCTGTTAGGAACTGGGCAGCACAGCAGGAGGTGAGCTTGAATGAAACCTGTTTGAATCATCCTGAAACCATCCCTCCCTGCCCTGGCTGTGGAAAAACTGTCTTCCACGAAACTGGTCCCTGGTGCCAAAAAGGTTGAGGACCGCTGCTATAGAGAATAAATATTCTATTCTAGAAGAGAACTGGTTATGGGGCTCTTTTAAAAGGCTGAACATACAAAACATCCCCAACATTTCTTAAAACTTGAACTCTAAGACTTTATCCCTTGGGCCATTTCCTTTACAACACCAATCCACTCCCATCTCCCACCACAGGTTTGGAGGGCAGGCAGGTTAGGGTGCAGTGGAATGCAGCAGGGTGGAGGACTCCCTTACCTGACTGCACAGCTCTAGGTTCTCAGAGTACACAGCAAGCTGTCGTCTGGGCTGCTGCTCCTCCGGCGGGTAGCTGGCCAGGAGGATGAGGACATCAAAACCAAACTTGTGTGTAAATGCTTTCAAATCCCTGGTGATGTTGCTGTGAAACATACAGTTCTGAAACGATAATGGGCAATTTGATTTTAAAGTCACACTGCTCGGCTTTATGCAGTTTGGGCAAATTTGTCTAATCTTATGATGTCTTATGACAGAGATATATTGTTAGAAGCAAGTGAAATAAACACTTCGAGATAGTTTGGGATCTTTCCTGCAATGGCTTTCAATGTACTTTGCCTGTTTGTTTTCCTAAACCAAGAGAGGAAGGAGTCTTTGTCATTACTATTAAGAATAGTTTAGGTAAGAAACAGATATCTTAACAAGATATGTTTTTTTCTAAAATATTTATTTTAATACTGACTTTCCAAAACATACGTTTCCTCTTATTGTTCCTAGGACATACAGATGTCTGCTATGATTGCAACCCATTGCTAAAAAAATAGTAAGTTATTGGGGTTTTTTTATAATTTCTTTCTAATGATTATTATTAACTCCAAGCAGAATTCCTAAGGATGAATCTAGCTGACTTTGCTGAATGATTTTTATCCCAGTGTAGACACTTAGGTGTTTTATATAAAGGCTGTGATGTCAGATCTGCTTGTTCTATGTGATGACTAAGGAGAAATGAATAACTGTAGAAAAGGTACCTGGGGCTCACATCATCCTCAGAAAGTGTGCTGGCCTTTACAAGTTTTATTGACTATGGTGAGAATCACTTTGTTGGCACAGTTGTCTATGTTTTTGAAGAAACAGAGTGAAGACCAAAGCCTGGCATATACTAGTTGCTCAAGACATATCTGTTGAATGACTAGAGAGACACACATATGAAACCAGCCTATGCTACATAATCTTCATATATCACAGCATACGAATGGCATATATATGATCATAATATATAACTGATCAACTGAAAGTGTACTGTGCTACTTAATGAAAATCACCGTGATATGCATTCAGGAAAGATAAAGAATGCTATTAATTTTTTTTATTACAAAAGTCATCAGAATTATGCACACCACTGGTAAAATATCAAAGCAATACAGAAATATATACAATGGGAAGTGGAACCGCCGCATAACCCCCGCTGTGAAGAGCCAACAGCCCAATGGGTTTAGGTGCAGATCTTTTCCATCCCCAGATCACTGTTTGTATGTGGTAGCTCTTTGAAGCTGGTGGATTTGATGTTTGTGGGTTAGACTATTTACCAGACTATTTAAAATATCCCCATCACTTGCGCCAAGATGGAGGCATAGGTGGAGACGCCATACTTTCTCACACAACCGAGTTTAGAGACAACAAAATATTAGCAACAGAAAACACAGCCAGAACACAGAAAATCGAACTTTTCAGAAGTCTGATAACAACATATTCTTCAGCCTGACCGGTAAGAGGGGCGAAGCCAGCAGCTAGCAGAGCAGGGTTGCACAGGAAAACTCGGTCAGACGGACTCAGGCACGCAGATCCCAGGCGTGGGGTTATGACAGGCAGACCCAGTGAGCCACCCAGTGAGTGACCGGTGGACCCAGCGAAGGCGCAGGGCAGCAGGTTGACTGTGGTCGTGCATTTGTGAGCAGATAGACTGGCAAGGGAGTGGGTGGTGAGACAGGACCGAGCAGGCCCCAGCGGTGGGAGGCAGCAGAGGGGGCCACCATTTCCCTGATCTGACCCCTCCCCCACATACAGCGTCACAAACCAGCACCCTGGGTGGCCCCACCCTGGTGAACATCTAAGGCTCCGCTCCTCATACTTAATGGGCATGAACAGACCAAAAATGGCTAAAAAAGATCTCAAAGCCCCAGAGCCCATAACTCTAAGTGACAAAGAAATAGCAAAACTTTCAGATGCACAGTTTAAAACACTGGTGATCAGGATGCTCACAGAATTGGTTGATTTTAGTCACAAATTAGAGGAACATATGAAAGCTAAACTAATTGAAATGAAGGGAATTGCACAGGAAACCAATAGTGATGGAAAGGAAACTGGGACTCAAATCAAGGGAGTGAACCAGAAGGAAGAAAAAAATGACCAAACCGGAAAATATGAAGAAACAAGAATTCAAAAAAATAAGGAGACTTAGGAACCTCCAGGACATCTTTAAACACTCCAACATCCAAATTATAGGGGTACCAGAAGGGGGAAAGGAACAGCTACCAGTGGAAAACTTATTTGAACAAATAATAAAGAAGAATTTCCCCAATCTGGAAAAGGAAATAGACTTCCAGGAAATCCAGGAAGCTCAGAGAGTCCCAAAGAAGTTGGACCCAAGAAGAAACATACCAAGGCACATCATAATTACATTAGCCAAGATTCAAATGAAGGAGATAATTCTAGAAGCAGCAAGAGATAAGGGGACAGTCACCTACAAAGGAATTCCCATCAGACTGTCAGCGGATTTCTCAAAAGAGATCTTACAGGCAAGAAGGGGCTGGAAAGAAGTATTCCAAGTCATGAAATCCAAAGACCTACATACAAGATTGCTCTATCCAGCAAAGCTTTCATTTAGAATAGAAGGGCAGATAAAGTGCTTCTCAGATAAGATCAAATTCAAGGAGTTCATCATCATCAAGCCCTTATTATATGAAATGTTAAAGGGACTTATCTAAGAAAAAGAAGATAAAAAAGATGAACAGTGAAAGGACAGCAAACTCAGTTATTAAGAACTACACCTAAAAGAAAAGCAAACTAAAAGGACAGCTGGATCAGGAGTGGAAACATAGAAATGAAGATCTCATGGAGGGTTAGCAACAGGGGAGTGGGAGGAGGAGATGGGGGGAGAAGGTACAGAAAATAAGTAGCATACCCGGTGGTGTGGGTTTGGTTTCCTATTTTTTTGGGGATGGCTCTTGGTGGGGGGTTGAATTTATGGGTGACGGTAGGTAGAAAATAGATAGGGGAGCAAGAATAGTATGGGAAATACAGAATCTAAAGAACTTGAGACAAATGGTCATAAACTAAAGGGGGGAATGGTGAGGGGTGGGGGGATGCAGGGTGGAGGGGAATGAAGGGGGGAATAGAATAACTGTAATGACATAATCAATAAAATAAAAAAAATATTTAAAAAATCCCCATCACATGAATCTAATTCTACTGAGTTCAGTCTTCAGGTCTCTGAAGCCCCTGAGAGGGTACCAGGGACACTTGGCTGGTGTGTGGGCCAATCACCTGCTTCACACCCCAAGGGGCCTTCGTTGTCCACTCCTGCAGCAGCCTCTCTCATTAGGCATCTCCCAAGGCCATTTTTACTTTTTGGTTATAAGGAATTGCACATGGGGACTCACAAATGTCTCCAAATATATTGCTGGTGGATACCAAGGGTCTATTATAAGGACTTGCTAATGAATTTATGAGGTTCAAATACAACAGCTTTTGGAAGCATGTGTTCCAAAATACTTTCTATCAGCGATGATGCTTTTATTTATCATCTAAGTATCACAATAACAATCTTTAATGATTTACTTACAATAGAAGTAAATATTTGGAATCAACTTAAAAAATGGACCTCATACACATACATTCAGATAGATCAAATCATTTCAAAAACTAATCGGTGTTATCCATCAAGAATCTCAATGCCAAGTTTTTTGCCTTTTTGAATAGTAAAATGAGATACGGTTCCCAAGGAAAACAAGAACAGACAGCTGCTACCTGAACCTGACCTCCAGTGACCGGGGGCTTTAGCACAAAAAGCCCTACCATTTGTCTTTCAAAATATTTAAAAAATTTGTACATAAAACCCCCAAATACATTTCTAAACTCCTGAAAGAAGATAAAACATTTCTAAGAGGTTTTTACCTATGATGAGTTATCATGACACCCCCGCTGGGCCCCTCGAACCAGAGAAAGTGATTTTATTGGTATCTGAACACAAGAGTAGGATTCAGTAGGATCAGCATTATTCAAAGCCACACCAGTGGAACATTTGCTGTTCCACAATGTTGGCTGAGCTCCAATCTGTTGGGACTCCTCTGTGTTAAAATGACAGCTCTGGAATTTTGCGGGACTCAAGTCCAGTGGCAGAGTCTCAGGCCATGCCCCAGACCTACTGAAGCAGAATCTGCGTTTTCCACAGGTCCTGGGGGATTTGAATGCACATTGAAATCTGAAAAGCACTGCTGTAAGGAGTTATTTGCTAATCAGTGTATTTTCCTATGAAGCAGTCCTTAGGGTTCTCTCAATGCTGTCACGGGACCTACTGACTCACACCCTCAGCTCCTTGTTCTTCACGCTACCCCCATCATAAAAATCACCCTGCAGTATGTATTTCTGGGCCGCCTTGCTAGAAGTTTTCATTTACCAGGTTGGGGGTTGGGTCAAGAATCTGTACTTCATCATGCACCTCAAGTGATTCTTGGACTCAGACACCTTTTGAGTAACACCCACCCCTCCCAGTTTTCCTCTGGGTGACCTTGAATTCCATAGGATCAGATGATGTACTGATAAAGCAAAGATTTATGTGGCTCACTTGAGCATGTTAAAACAAGAAAATACTTAAGTCTGGCAAAACCCCCAAACAGAGATCATCAACAGCTATGTCCTACCTGTCCCAATAAAATTGCCCCAGTAAGATCTTCCTGGCTTTAGGACAATGTCATGAGTTTCATGTTTAAAGCACAATCAAACAAGGCAATGTGTGAGGATCTTCAGGAATCCGGGAGGCAGAGCTGTTTGTTCTGCTTTTACGCCGGTGCTGTTTGCATAGGAGATAATTTATTATTGTCTTCTAGCGACGCAGGGAGTCATGTGCTGCGATGGCTCTTCTGTTGCTGACAAGCTGGGCCGGCCCTGAATAAACAGTACTTCATCATCAACACAACCCAACTGTAGACACAGGTTGGCATTTTATTCCCTCCATTTGCCTTCTACCTGATAAATTACTGTTTTAGTTGCATGTATACAAATACTATTTGTTAATCTACTCCAGCGTCTTCAAAATGCTTCCCCCACCTTAAGTTAAAATTATATACATATTCATATATATCTCCCACTCCATTTTGCCAAAGGTTTAGAAAATAAAAGGATCCTAACTTCACTTACCACCCCTGCCCCCACCATACAATCTT